TAGAGAGGGGCTGGGGAGATGGCTCAGTAGAATAAGTGCTTCCCTGGCAAGCACAAGGGTCTGAGTTCAATCCCCAGTTCTGAGAAGAAAAAAAAAAAAGTGAGCAGAGAATTTTGAAAACCTTAAAATTTTGACCCAGAATGCTTAGGCGGAATCTCACAAATCAGCAAGACTGCATCCAGTGTAGATTCAAGAGTGCAAAAATACTCATCTTTCATTTGAGAAGAGAATCCCTAGAATCACTGCTCAAGAAAGTCTTCCAGGAGAATTAGACACCTAGGGTTAACTTCACCATGCTCAGCTATCCAGGCACTCAGAGTCTGCCACAACCATGGTCCAAGGTGGCCTGGTAATGGCTTCTGTTTCAGCAGATACTGGTGTAGTCTCCCTGATGCTGATTTTACTGGCATAAAGAATGCAAGATAATGGGGTCAGAAAGGATTCCATCCAGATATCAAAGAAAGGCCCAGAAAGCCAGGCAAAGATCCCTTGAGAGGGCAGTGCATGATGCATGGGAATGAAGCCAAAGGTAGAGTGGAACCCCAAGGAAGTTGGAGGTACCAGGAATGCGGAACATCTGCAGGCTGTTGAGTGTAGCCAGCCCATGAGCGATGGCATGTGGGTTGCAAATAAGAAGGAAACAAGGGTGGGACTGCCCAAGCCTTCTGAAACTCACATTTGACCACTCTGAGCCCTGTGTGAAAATATGCAAGTACAAGATTTAATGCTTTCCCTGCTGGGTATTGGTCTTGTTTTGGGTCTGATTCTTTTCTAGCCTTCCATTCTTCCCTTTTGGAATGGAGATATTTATCCTGTGCCATTACACCTTGGAGTTATGTAATTTTTTTTTTATTTTTACAAAAGTTCACAGCTAAGAGTTTGCTTTGAGTCTCAAATGACTTGGACTTTTCAAAAATGCTAGGGGCTAGGGATATAGCTCAGCAGCTCAGTGCCTGCTTGGCAAGCACAAGGTCCTGAGTTTGATTCCTGGTACCCTCTTCCCTCCCAAAAAGAAAGAAAACTTCTAGAAATACTGAGACTTTAAGTAAGGGATTGTGTTTCCAGCAGTACTTGGGATAGCTTTATTATGTTAGGAAGAAGGACCATGTGTTTGGGTGCTAAACTGACAAGGGATTGGGCTGGGGGATGGTCTGTGACCATCACTCCTCATGTGTCAACTTCATTCCCTAGCAAATTAGGAAAGCATGCTCCTGAGTATGTCTGGTGGGTCATGGAGGTATGACCTCAAGCACTATAGATGGTCCTCACCCTTTCCTCCCTGGCACTACTCCCCTGCTCTGCTCCTAGCCACCAGAAATTAAGCAGCTTTGATCCTTCATACCCTTCCACCATGGTTCTCTTGCCTGAAGAACAAAGGCAGAACCCTTCAAACCTGTGGGCCAAATTAAACTTCTTTTCCTTTACACTGTATCTGGTACCATATCCCAGTGATGGGAAAGCTAATACACACTTTAATACAGACACAGGAACTATCTCCAGTTATTATCAAACATTTCTGAATTCCATTGGGAAAAATAGAGAATAATCTAATAGGGATAAAACCTAAAAGATGTATAACACTGAGGTCCTGCTCATGGCTTCTCTTGGGATCCAGGCCCACCCCTGCCTTTTCTTCCTTATAAATGGCCTGCCTCTCTACAGCAAGAGCCCAGAGTGACCATGAGAATGAGGCCTAGAGCTGCTCATGACAAAGTCATCTTAGCTCTCAGCTCATTGCCAAGTCCATTATGACACTGAGAGAATACAGCAGTCAGGAGGATCTGGTTGTTGTCAAGGCTAATGTCCCCATCACATAATGTAACTACCTTCTCTAAAGGAAATGGGAAGGCATTTTCTGCCTGACTCAAGGTTCTGGGACTGTAGTTTGCCACAGTTCCTCTAGATTGGTAAAAGCCATTATTGGAAATTTCCCTTTATTCCATGATGGATCTATCCACAGTAATTCCTGGGAATAGCAGCATGGTGTGCTAACTATGCCCATACATTTGCCCCGAGTCCTTTTGCTGCCACTGACTAAATGCTGTCTACCTCTCCATTTTCTTTCTTTTCTTTTCTTCCCTTTTTCTGGGGGGAGGGGGTCTTTTTTACGCAGGGTTTCATTATGCAGTTCAGGCTGGCCTTGAACTCACCATGTGACCCAGGCTGGCCTTGAACTTACACTGATCATCCCCTGCCTTAGTCTCCTAAGTGCTGGGATCCATCACACCCGTCCTTACCTCTTCATTTTCATGTCCCTAAAAAAGTGACAGCTCAGTTGGGTCCCCTCATGCCTGAAACACCTCAAGGAAGAGACTGTATCCTGGTTTTATTTTCCCTGTCATTTTCAATCTTCTCTATATTTCCACCCTTCTGATTGGAGCTACAGGCTCACATGGAGTATGGGGCATTTTAAGAACATCATTTTCATGTGGCTGGGGAGATAGCTCGGCAAACTAAGTACCTGCCTGGCAAGTACAAGGTCCTGAGTTTGATCCCTGGTACCACATGCCGTGCCAGCCCCAGAACCCTGGGAGCTGAAACTGGGTGTGGTGGTGCACACCTGTAATCCCAACACTGGGGAGGCTGAGATAGGAGGAACACTGAGTCTGAACTGCATAATCTGAGACCCTGTATCAACAAATTAAAAACAACAAACCTGTATCAACAAATTAAAAACAAAGAACAAAAATATCATCATCTTCAGACCATATGCTCTAATTTTCATTTTTATCTGTAGTCACAGATAAAAGCAAAACAAATGAAGGGGTTCACACCAGTCCAACGAAGGAATTGAACCAGCTTAGTGAATCCAGGTACTAATGTCTACAGACACCTGCGGAGAATATAAATGTATATAAAATATGAAGCAACGGCAGCTAGGGAGAGCCCGAAGGCACATTCCACCAAAGGGGTGCCACTGGCACTCAGCAGCAAGCTCCGACTATCACCCTCAAAGCAGGGGCTCAAAAGCCTCTCTATCCTCTAATCTTTGAGAAGAAGCCACAGACTATTTTAGATAAAAATCTCCATCTTAAGTAGTGTCAATTAATTCAAAGATTTTAAAGGATGCTGTGTGAACCAAAGTGGATCTACAGGCTGGCTGCAGTCCCAAGTGCTCAGCCTGTGCCCCATGCCCTAGGCAGCATTCTCAGCTTCTGAGCTGACACTGTTTGATCAGCCCCAGACCTCATGCCTGATCAATAGCTATTGGATAACAAAACCAGAAATGACACTGTGGGACAGCAGACAGGACAGAGTTGAGCAACAGGAAACCATGAAAGAGTGGGGCTAGCAGTACTATTAGGAAGGAGTGGCATTCACCCCGACTGCTGCTGGGAGGGGCGGTCAGAGAGAAGGGCCACCCCACATGGGTGAGCAGATGTGCAAAAGACAAGGGTGCCTGCAGAGGGGCGCCTGAGTGGGGAGCTCTGACACGGGGCTGCAGAGTCCAGGGCCGTGCACCGGTTCACCCACAGGAGCCCTGGGTTTTCTGGCCTAGGCACAGGAGGAAGGCAGGAAGGGTAGTTAGAAAGCTACTCTAGGGAGGAAATGAGGAGGAGGATGCTTCGAGCAGGCTGGAGGGAGTGGCTGAGAGAGAAGTAGGCGGGCTCTGGGGACAAGACAAGTGGCTGGCAAGCGTCTGCTTTCAGGAGTGGCCGGGTGGCTGGCCCTGGTATGGAAAGGATTACAGCAGGAGCAGGCAGCAGGGAGATCCAGGGATGGCTCTGAACGTAACGCCTGTGATGTCTGGGAGCTGTCAGGAGAAATTCCAAGTGGACACCGAGACATGCAGAACCCTCATGGGCCTGGACTGGAGAATAACAACTCCATTCAAATGCTACAGTTTAATTTGTTCAATGTTTTTTAAGGTCCTGTTTTGGGTAACTTACTTTCAAAAGATACCAGTGGATATGGCGGGGCCAGTTTGCCATCACTGGTTCTACTTCAGCTCCCTGGCCTTTGTCTGCCCTGCTCCTTGGCCGCCTCGTGCTCTCCCCACTAGGCGCTGCTCGAAGCACTTAGCACACGTTAACCGGCTCAAGTCTCAACCCGCCTTATGAGACAGCTAGCACAAAGGCCTCACTCTGAGGCAGAGAGAGGTGAACTAACTCACGCAAAGTCCCCTAGGCCAGAAGGGCAGTCACTAGCGTTCCAGTGGAGGCGGTCTGGGTCCTCAGCCTGCTTTTCTTTCTGCTGTCTCTTCAGACACTGCGGGTGTTCACAGCCCGTTAGTCTCCCTTCTTTCGCACTAAATCCCCGCTCCTTGTCTGAACGGCTTGCAGACTCACGAGTGTTTTCCTCACATGAACCCGTTTCTAGACACCACTACCTCCTCTGTGAGCCTTATTTTCCTGCTCTTGAACCACCAAAGCTTGCGGGCTTGGACCATGCGGCTGAATGAGTCTTCTCTTCTGGACGAAGGGCAGGAAGCAGGCCCTGTGTTTACTCCTCCGGAGGCCTTTACGACGCTGCCAAGAGTGGGCACACAGAGCGAGTCCTCATGCACAGACAGGCGGGCCAAGTAGGGATAATAGGTCTACCCAGGCGGGAAGCATGAGTTGGCTAGGAATATGCTTTTATCTGTCACAACCCTAATTAAGGGAAAAGGCCTTATTTTGTAAAAGACCAGCATTGTGGGTAGAAATGTCAACATAATGAATTGGCTAATTGTTCCTTTTGCTGCAGCGCTCACCAATGCTGTCTGCAGATCACAGCACTGAAACTAGAGGCACCTTACTCAGCAGCACGGTCTAATCTCACTGACCTTGTGTTGTGGCGAGGCTGCTCCTGGGCCAGGCCATCTCTCATGAAAGTTTTGGCCCTGCTCTGTCTTTTGGGGGAATTTTTCTACAGCAGAACCCTGCTTCATTTCCCACTCTGCCATTTCTTCCTGTCTAGTTGCTCAGGGGCTGGAAGAGTCAGAGGACAGGCAGCCCGTCACTCCTGCTGTCAAGGGCAGCTCCTGGTGCCTTGCCCTCCGCCCTGCACACGCTGCCCAGTGGAGAGCGGGCAGCAGGTCCTCCTAACGCAGTGTACCCCTGCGCCTGGCCTCCCAGCTGGGCAGCAACCCCACGGCTTGTGTTTCTCCCCATCTCCCACCACCAACACATGAGGACAAAACTGGCCCAGCGAGAGATTGTCACCAGAAGACAGAGCAGGTACATTCCCATGCTGGAAATGGATACTGGAGACAACCTGGCTTGTAGACAGAATCAGTAGTAAGAAAGAACTGGGCCTGGGAGGGAGTGAGGGAGCCTGGGTGGGTAGGCCTGGGAGGGAAGCTGGCTTTTTGTTATAGACACCTCTTTGGATAACAGCATCTTCCAATCTAAATTCTTGACTGTTCATCAACAAATCTGTGTGTCTAATTTGAGTTACAAAAACGATCTGTCTTAGAGGAGGGCTTCAGCTGCAAATGGGTCCAAAGCAGCTTCTCCGTTTCGTGATGCTTTGTTGGTGGTCACTCCTGAATCATGAAGTAAGAACCTTCCATGTGAGGCTCAGAGTCAAAGCAATGATGACACTTAGAAGGGAAAAAGTGAAAGCAGAACAGAAATTGAAACAGACATAAAAATGTGTCTTCTGCGATGTCTGCCCCAGTCCTCAGCAGACAGATGAGCACCATGCTCCCAGAGTGAGGCGGGGGAGCCGGAGGAGCCAGGCCTTCAGGCTGCCAGCCCCAGCTCTCAGGCTTGCTTCCTCCGACGTCCTCCAAAGTGCCTGAGATGTCACAGCACAGGTTGTAGGGTTGAAAAACTTCTGATCCAGCTTCAGTGCACCCTTAGAGCCCCAGCCTGTGCTGCACACATAGGATTCTAAGCTTCGGGATGGGGACAGAGGAAATACAGAGCTGTATTCCTGCTGGGCAATCCCACTCACACCTTGTATCACTTGGGGAGACGCGGACACCACTCATTTCTTTCAAAGCCCACATGAACACAATGCCTCTCCGTCTCCCCTCACCCAAGGCCTGGTCTTAGGATGGGAAGTTCAGTCAGTTCTTTAAGAGGACTCGCCTTGCCTCGCCCTGTAACAGCATGATTGCTCTCACTAGGTCAGTTTGCTCACACCAAGGAACTGGATCCTGTTGGAACAACAGCAGTGACAAGGAAACAATACACATACACCCAGCACCAAAACGCAGCTCGTACTCGTGGTTGCTGCCACCCTTGCAGTAAGTCAGTCAGCTGAGAACACTCTGCAGGCCACAGGCTCTGACAACCAACTCTGCTGCTTTCCTCACCCTTCACCATCATGTCCTGTATGCAGGGCTTTCGGTCTGCGAGTGGTATTCTCTGACTCAAGTCAGTTCCTGTTCTGTGACACTCTCAGCAGCTGGGGGGAAGAATTCCTTAATGTCCCAGCTCATGTCACCCCAGAAAGCGGCCCTTGTTGCTGGCATGTGGACCACTGAAGGCTCCTTGGCTTTGAGATCAGCTGTCATACACCCTAGAGAACTCAACCTAAAATAGGGCAGAAGTGGGACAGAAAAGAAACAACTGAAGTGACCATTAGGATTACTCCAAAAGGCAGTTAGAAGGTGAATGTATTAGAAAAGGTGTAAGCAAGATGTGTAAGGGAAACAAAAATACCATGGAAAAGGAGGGCGTTTGTGTCTCAGCTTTTCCTGGTTACTTTAAAATCTGTCAAACAAAAAGGCAGAAGATAAAGACATAAATGTAGCATTTAGTTTTTAAGTGCTTTGTAAAAGCTCAAAGACTATTTATTGTATGTTCTTACAACTTGTACATCATTATACTGGCGCTGGATTTGGATATTCTGGAAGTTTTCATGGGCCTAGATTCTTAGCAGCTAGTAAGGACAGCAACGGTGACATGTGGGAGTTACAGTTAATTCTGGTGTAACTATGCCATTCCTCCTGTCCAGTCAGATGCTGGCAAAGTTTTCTATGCACTATTTTAATGTTTTGTGATGTAATTTCTTTATGATATAAGATTTTGCTTGAACTTACATTTCCTGCCTATTCTTCCCACACTAATGTAAACCATACCCCCCAGAAGGAAAACAAACAAACAGAAGATACAAAAGAGAAGAAATTTTATGCAGGGCAAAAAGTAGAGCAATTCTTGATTAAAGTGAGCATTTTACATAACAATGCAGGACCTAACACAAATCAAATCAAGATGCAGTATACTGCCACTGCATTATAACTAACCAAGTCCAGATCCGAACTTTACACCAACTATAAATCATGGTGACTAAAAGAAAAATCATGCACTAGCCAGGGTTGGCTTTCCTTGGACTTGACAACAAACTATGATTAATTTGGCTCAATATAGGAAGCAAGAGCGAAAAATATTGCATTCCTGTGAACCATCTACGGTTATCTGAGGGATATCCAATTCTCATTTGGTAACCAACTAGATTATAAAATAACAGTATCACTTTTAATGAAATTCAGACATGGAACACAAACAGAAGCTATGCCTAATTCAATTACGTAAGATAAATTAATAGCCCCATTTATTGGAGCCTATCAAGTACTAGTCAGTAGCTTAGGTAGTTTGTTTACATTATCTTCTTAAATCTTTTTCTCACTTTTTTTATTAGCATATATTGGTTATACAGATTAGGAGGCTTCACGTGGCAAATTTGTACATGATGAAATGTATTTTAATCATTTCCCCATCACACGTCTCCCTCCTGGTTTTACAGGTTTTAAAAAATCTTTTTTAAGGGCAGGCCAGATAGCTCAGCAGATTGAAGTGCCTGCTTAGACAGAGTGCAGCCACCGTGGTTCGATCCCTGGGATGCTGTGCTGGCATGCTGACACTGCAATTGAGACTGGGTGTGGTAGTGTGCGCCTGTAATCCCAGCACTTGGGAGGCTGTAAACTGGAGGATCACTATGAGTCCGATCTACATAGTGAGATTCTGTAGACCCTATAGACCCTGTACTGAATACATTTTTTAAAAAAAAAAATCTTTTTTAGAACCTGTGACTTACCAAAGCCCGTAGTTTAGGGTTCTTTGTGTTCTGCACTCTTCAGGTTTTGATGAAAATGTAGTATCACATGTCCACCATCATGGGATCACACAGAAGAGTTTCCACGCTCTACAAATCCTGCGCTTCACCTGTTCATCCCTTACTTCCTCCTCCCCCTCCTCCTCTCCTCCTGTGCCCTTGGCAACCATCCATCCTTTTACTATTTCTATTGCTCCACCTTTTCCAGGTGTCAAATATAGGGAGGAACAGTGGGTATTCTTTTCAGACTGGCTTCACGTCTTTTCACAGTTTGTTAGCTCATTTCTTCTATTGCTGAATAATAAATAGTCCATCACATGGATACACAACTCTGCCCATTCAATTACTAAAGGATGTCTTGATTGCTCCCAACTTTTGGCATTTATGAATAAAGCTGCTGTAAACATTCCTTGCAGGTTTCTGTACATTTTCAACTCATTTGGGTAAATATGGAGGGCTGTAACCCTAGGTGATATGGTATAGTTATGTCTAGCTTTCTCAGAAATGGCCACTTTTTCTCTCAAAGCACCTGTACCATTTTCCTTCTTATTAATTACCTGATCTCTTGGTGGTCTTTCAGTGCACGCACTTCATGCTTGGTGCTCAGATAAGAAAACTGAGATGCCAAGATGCCCAGCAGCTTGCCCAAAGTCACGCAGCACAGTGAGGACAACGCTGGCATTCCAATTTGAGCGAACCAGGCTGTACAGCCAGTCGTTTCTATACTACACATGACTGCCTCCCAGACCAGCCAGCATTCAGCCAGGGCAGGGGCTTCCAGGGGTCCCTGTGCCTCTGCTCTGTGCATTAGTGGCTCCCAGGGAAGGTCCCCTACCACACTGGGTTAGTAGTTTCCTCCTTCCTCTGAAAGAGGGATTCTCCCTCTCCCTCTCTCCCATGGGTCTGGGGAGAGGCTAAGAGGCACTGTGGGTCTCCATGCCCTAACACGACTCCCATGATCAGCAAAAACAGCTTGTTCTCATTAGATTTTGCACTATTATGCAGAAAAGCACTTTCAGCAATGCAAGTACAGAGTCCCTCTGCCCCTCAGGATAGGGCAACATCCATATAAACCCATTCTAAACTGAAAATATTCTAAGTCAAACATGCATTTTTAAAAATGCATTTAATACATCTAACCTACTAAACACTGTAGCTAGCAATATACTGTACTTAGAGTCTTTCTCTAAGACTCTAAGTTGTTCCTTTGTAATTGGGTATCTGGTGACAGCTACAACTGGCTCCTGCTGCCCAGCCTAGCAAGAAAGCATTTTAATTATATCACTAGGTCAGGGAAAGATAAAACTCTACATTTAAAATACGGTGTTAACTAAATGTCTATTGCTTTTGCACTATCAAGAAGGTAAAAAATTGTAAGGTCAACCAAGATCATCTGTCTAACCAAAAGCTTCAACAACAGGTTTCTAAATTCAGGACTTCTTTCAAAGAACTACAACACTAGTGGCATTTCCAGGATGAGACACTAAGGAAGAAAGTCACTGGTAACCTCTTAGTTCAGATTATTATATACACATCTGCCAAAGTGAATTCTGCAGAGGACCCAGTGAAATTTCCTATTTGTAAAGCACGCCAGCCCTTTCCCTCCCTCTCTTCTCATCCCAGAGATTCCAACTACGTTGGTCACAGCAGCTTTCAAACAGGGCACATAGCGTCCCACTTTGAGAAGTACAGTTTGGGATGGCCTGGAGGGATGGCTTAAGGAGGCTTAGCAAGAGGAGTGATGCTTGTTCTTATGGCTCATTTGATCCGGTTAATTTAGGAAGCATACTTTATATAGCAATCTGGACAGCCTAGAAGCAAAGGCCTGTGCTGACAGTCATTTCTTTAAAAAGTTTATACAACATTTCAGCTGTTCGCTGAAAAGGTTATATGAAAATATTTTTTTGGCTGCCACTTGAAGAAATAACTGTATTTCAATGAGGAAGAACACCAGTAGCGAGGAAAGGATGAGGTTGGCAAATATGAACACAGGTTAAATTAACTCAGCCACGTGTCTACCTGCCAAGAAAGTGCAGGGAGTTTAGTACCTATTTCAATCTACACAGAAAATGAGAAGAGGGATACTGTGTGAGTCAGCTATGGTGAGACACCTGCTCACTCTTCATTTACTCAACAATTAAGAATCTCGGCCATATTTATACGGTAATAAAGG